ATCTGCAAATTTATTATGCTTAAAACACTTAAAATATTTTAGTACATGCTTACAGTATGTACTGATTACACCTCGTCCTTCCCCACTCCCTTGCTTCCTTGGGTCCCCCCTGCCCCTTTGCAAAAGTCCTCCCTTTGTTTCCTATTAAGTGCTCTTTATTTTGCTCTTTAAATTATTTATACTTTGGTTTTCTCATTAAGAGAAACCACTTAGTTTTTTTTTCTTTTTTTTTTGGTACCAGGAATCGAATTCACGACCTCACTGTTTGCCAGGCAGGCACTTATGCCCCTGAGCTAAATCCCTGGCCCAAAACCATATAATATTTAAAATTGAGAGTCAGGTTTATTTCACTTAACATTACTGTCTCAAGGTTTATCTATTTTTCTTACAAATGACTCAAATATATCCTTTATGTGGAGAAGTGCTCCATTATACATAAATACCACTCATTTGCTGATGAACATATAGGTTCCTTCCAAGATTTAACTATTATGAGCAGAGAATTTATTGCATTTTGGTTATAAAAGATATTCTATATTATTTGGATATACTTAGATTTTACTGAAATGCATATAGATTTATATAAATATAAGTACATATACAAGTTGTAATAAAAATACAATTTAAATTTAAAAATTTATTACAGAAGATACACTGCCATTAATCACCTCAAAATACTCTCCCTTACTTTTAACACATTTATCTTCTCATTCTTGTCAATGTGTCTGTTGCTTTAATAACTTTCAAAAAATTAAGTATTTGTCATATTTTTGGAGGTTGTTTCCCTTTTAGTACTTGAAATACCTCATTCCTTTATAGGTGATTTGTTTCTTTTACTGCTTTAAAAATCTGCTTTTGTGCTGAATTTCTGCAACCTTGATTATTATATGGCTTGGTGTAGATTATTTTGGTCTTAGCTGTTTGATGTTCTGTATGTTTCATTTATTTATACGTCAAATTATTTATTCATGTTTGGGAAGTTTTCTGCCATTATTTCTGTGAAGAAGTTTTTCATGGCATTTGCTCTGTCTCTAGCTTTCTCACTGACCTCAATCAGTTTTACATTATTCTTTGCTTCATCTTGCAGCTGTTGGATTGACTTTTCATGGTCTGTGGCTATTTTTAAGATATCATTCTTTTCACGGTCGTTAGCTGCAGTCTTGTCTTCTAGATCTGATATTCTATCCGTGCCTTTGTTTAATCTGTTGCATACATTTTTAATGGAGATTTCTATTTGGATCTGTTTTATGGACTGTTTCTTTGTCATGTTGAGCATTTACGATTTCCATCATTTTTTTTTTTAACTCTGTGTCTAGTATCTTTGGTTTTGATTATCATTTCTTTTTGTGCCTCAGGTATTATTTTTCCTGTAGCCTTTTCCTATTTTTTTTTTTTTCACTTCTATGGCTATAATTTCAGAAAGTTTCAGTGTCTTACTTCCAGTTTCCCCTATCTTGTGCTCTGGGCTTGTCCTGGGTGCTTCTGAGTCTTACTATTTTTTCTTTTCTAATTTTTCTTTCTTTTATTGCTGCTTGCCAATTTCTTATAGTAGACAGTGTTATTTCTAGAATCAAGGCTTCCCTAGGAGATGTCTGTTCTTCAGGGATGTCTTCTATATATAAATGGTGCTTTATGTCTGTCTCAAGAACCTACCTCCCCTATTTGTTGGATGTTGTTAGAAAGTTGCTATTTGATTTAGCACCCAGTCCTTTGGTACTGGACTATGGTGATGATTATGACCGAACACAATCAGTGTTATCATGTAAGGGAGAAAAACTAATAATATATATGGCATCCTGGGTAAAGCAGTTCAGCTAACAATAGCAATATCATCAAGTACAGCTAAGCTACTGACAAACTGTGGTAACTATTAACCTGATACCGTTGACTACAGGATCAAATTCTACAGTTACATAACAAAATTCAACATATACAGCAACTAGTATGCAATGATTTTCCCCTTAGTGGAATGACTGTATCCTGTTGCAGGGTGATGTCAAGGGGAAAGGAGACAAGATAGATTTTCTCACATTCATTAACTAGTATATTTTGTTCATTTTTCATTCATTTATCCACTCATTCCTTCAAGAGACAAGGTCTCTAGGATTTTCCAAGCTAATACAAGGGATCTTTCTGCCTCAGTGTCCTGAGTACCTGGGGCCACAGGCTCATGCCAAATCCATTTCTACTTATTTTTAATGTTTCAGTTTTTCAACTTACGAATCCCACTTTACAAAGGCAGTATGAAATGGGAAGCCTTGCTACTTCTTAGAAGACCCCAGTTAGAGAAATCATGAGACACACAATCTGCCCTTAAGGTACCAAATAAGCAGCAAAGAGTACAGTAACTTTCCTAGCCTACCTTCATTAGAGCGTGAGCCTATTTTTGAGGCTGGTAATCACACCACAGCAAGAGAGGCAAGTTCTAGTCTTTATCTCCCTGTGCACTACACATACCACACCCTCAACCTCTAGGCTGTGTATCCTGTGCTGATGTTCCCACCTCAGTCTTGCCAGCCCAACTAAGAAGGTCTCCCTTGGGGGTCAGCTGTGCGTATGTGGGGTGTTATTTCAGGTGGGGTTGAGGATTCCCTGCATTAACAGTTCTACTCCAGCTTCTAGGAATTTGTTAAACTTTTTTTTTTTTTTACTTTTTCACTTAAATTTAACAACATGTAGAAAAGCATAACAATGGTCTTTTATATGGGCAAATAGTTACCATAGTGGTAATTCAGAGTATATCAAAATTAAAGTTTCCATCATGACCAGTCTCTGCATTCCACCAGTGTCTTTTCACCACAATTGTCAAGCAGGGTATAAAACTATGAACTCCCTCACTCTGACCTGGAAACATCTATGTGTAGTACATCTCAAATGCAAGTCCAAGGTAATAGATTTGTCCTGAGAGTTCCATTATAGCTGATTGTACCAAATGACCAATAAACCACCATCACCAACAACCAAAACAGTGAATGCTATTTTATCTACAAATGAGAAAACTACTGCCTTTTTCAATCTTTTTCTAATAAAGATGGAAATAATAAGCAGCAATCCCTGAGCAAGGAGGAGAGCAGTTGCCCAACACTGAGAAGAGTTAAAAAGCTTCAGTGATTTCTTTTTTCTTGTAGAGGTCAAGATGATCCTACAACAGGTTATGAACATGAAAGTTGGATTCTTTTTAGTTATATTTATTTTTCCTTCTTTAGTGTTACCTGTGCTTCATTTTTCTGCAATTGTGCATGTAACTGAGGGAGGATGATCCAAAAATATACATAAAAATGTAACAATAATTTGCTATTATGACTTGTGTCCAGATGTCCCCCCAAAGCCTCATGTGGTCATAGAGGGGGCTTTTTCAGAGATGGCTAGATCTGGAGTCTGTGATACTGGGATTGATTTGTGGTGCAATGCTGGGGTTAGGGTAGATGCTAAGATTACTAAATTAGTTCACTGTTTTGGTACAGCCCTAATTCCAGTAGCCTAGACTAAATATAAAAAAGGGCCAAGAAAAATTTGGTGAGTTTCCTTGCTTGCTTGCTTTGCTACCTTCTGCTGCCATGAACTGTTTCTTCTCTGCAATGCCACACTACCATCAAGCCGGCTAATTATGGACTGAAAGTTGTACAGACTGTGAGCTAAATAAATCTTCCTTTAACTTTGGGTGTTAGGTATTTTTGTTTCAGCAAGGAGAGATAAGTAACTAAGACAATTTGTAAATTAATCTCCTAAAACTAAAGTCAGTAATACATTTTTACTAAAAAGTTGTATAAAGTTATTTGAAAACAAACAAACAAAAAAACCAAGACAGAAATTCCTATTCTGAAGTCTCTGACTTTTAACTCCCCTATTATAGTGGGATAGCAGATACCTATAATCCCAGCAGTTGGGAAGCTGCAACCGGAGGATCACTGCAATTTTGAGGCCAGTCTTGGCTGCAAAGTGAGTTCAAGGATAGCCTCAACTGCATATTGACAACTATCTCAAAAAGATTCCCCTGCCAAAAACAAAATAAAACAAAACAAAAAGCAATAAAAAACAAAAACCCTACTAAGGTTGATAAGTTTTTCTTATTTTTATTAGTAAAAATTTGCTTATCATTTAATTTTGTAAAATATGGGAAACTATATACACTTGGTAATGTTAAACAGAGTTCGGTTTTCAATATTTAATCAATTTACCCACCAATAAGACTGGCTGATGAAAATTACACTCCAGTGATTTTTTTAGAAGTTCTTGTAAGTATTCATTCTAAATAATAACTATGTTTTAAAAATATTTCTTTTTAACTAGTGTATTTAAAACATAGTTTGGGTTCTTCTTCAAATATCATAACACTTCTACTTCTTTGCAATGCTTCTCTGACACAATGAATAACAATAGTGTATAGTTGATACTAATACAACATTTACACTTTACAGTTCCTAGGAGGTACAAATACTTTATTATAGGTTTCATTGCCTTTGTCCATACAATGATGTTGACAAGATAAGAGATTTATAAACACAAATTGTTATGTGCCAGTGATGATCAACTTTTATCCTTATTTTGCTCAATTTCACAAAATTTCAGTAAAGTACTCTAAAAAAATTACATGAAAGAATTTAAAGTGATATCAATTCATTTTTACTTTAAACCAGTCTTTGAGCTCAGAAAATTACAATTTGGAAATTACAGTGTAGACAAGTAATACATAATTGGAGAGCCTGTAATGGCAGTATTTGGGAGCACCTGCCTAAATTAAAGATCCAAACCATGCTAGCTTATTGGGCAGAGCAGGTCTGGAATGTAAATCTGCAGTAGTCAGGCTGGAGTGTTCTCTCTTCTCTGAGTTTAGTGAAGAGAACTGTGACGGTCCTCAGCTGTTCTGATCACTAGATGCTATGAAGTGAGACAGCAAACAGGCCTGGTTTAAAAATTACAAGTGCAGGCTCTGACAATTTTAACTCTACCTTGTCTGAAATTTTACTGCTTATAGTGACAGTAAGTGGGAAGTGACATACCTGCCCCAGGCTGCCTCAGTGGTAGATGCTTTATTAACTGGAACACAGGAGGAGTCAATGACGGCTGATTTGTTCATCTTGTAGCAGAAACCGCAGTTTGGATCCAACATGCACTCATTACAGTAACTGAAAAAGGAAAAGAGTTATAGGCATGTTGGCAGAGACAACAGGCGCTGGATTCCAGGTACCCTCCTGCATGTCCCAGTAAGCCTGGGGCTTCAGAACTAAGCAAGATATTTGTGCTGAGCCAGGTCACAGCTGGCTGCTTGCTTCTGTCTCTGCCTTCTGGCTACAGCAACCTTGGGAGCCACTTTGTGATGGAGGAAGTTTGGACTGAGAGTTTGGGTTAAGTGCCACCTTCAACTTGAAGCAGATAACCTGCCTGCCTTCTTCAATCACTAGGATTTGTTGGCAAACCATAAACTGGTCCATCCTGACCCAGGTCCAATTGTTTCTAAATTGTGTTGAAGCATCTCTTTCTCATAATTGTCTCATTCAGAAAACTATACATTTTAAAAACTAGGAAATAGCCACCCCACCTAATACAGAATCAGAAAATTTAAGTAATTTAAATAAAATTTTTAAACATAAATTAACAGAATTAAACAGAAAATTCAAATAATAATAGAAAAAAGGACTTATAGAAAAAGTTAACAGAAATACTATCACCCAAATTTGGCCATTTCTAACACATTGGTGAACATTTTACACTACAAATCTGTATATATATATCTACATATGTGTAATGTAATCACATAATAGGCCATGCAGATCAGTAAGGGCGAGAGGGAGAAAGAAGGAGGTGGAAAGGAACAAGGGGTGGAGTAGGGAGGGGCACTAAAAAGGCATATTTCCACACCTTGATAGACCAAAGTCAAGAACAAGAAACAAGTGTATGACTACATAGAAAGTAAGTATAAAATACCCAAAGGTCAGAGGCCTTTAAGAGTTGAGAACATTTCCAGAGGTGACATGTAAGCTAAACAATAAAAGACATTTGTAAGGCAAAGAAGATATTTCAGAAGAGAGAAAGATATTTTAGAGAACTGTTTATTATTAAAGATCCATCAGGATGTAGATTTAACAAGTATCTAATCTATTCAAGTAATTACACTGTGATGAGGAGCAAAGAAACAACAGTGCAAAGGCATGTCAAAGACATGCAAGTCATCTAAAAATAGACATGTGGTACAATATTTCTGAATTCTCAAAATTAAAATTTCCTTTGAGATCTTTTAACTAAATGTAAAAATACTGGCACTGAAGCGCACACCTCCCCTCCCTGGTAAGCAGTGGTGGTGTGGCAGACTGCAGCCCTTCCAGGGGGAGAACTACCAGCAGCTCCTGAGATCCGTGCCCATGCTGGAACTTAGGAGGCTGGGAAACCAAACAACCAGCCTGCCTCCCTGCTAAGCAATAGTGAACTTACTGATGCACGGCCTAAAGTCAAATATCCCACTTCCCCTAACCCCTTCTCCTGTCGTGCCCCCCCACCCCCACCCCCGTTAGCAAATGGGAACCAGAAATCTGAGCATCTCCTGGGAGGCTGATAAGGGGGACTTCCTTCTACTATCTAATATTTTTATTACTGTTTTGCTCTATTCTGATTAATGGTATTGCTCTATTCAATATTCTGTTTTGATAAGTTCTATAGTGTTCTATATTTCCATCTCATTTTGATATACGTGACTGAAAGAACAACTATTATAAAGATAACGAAATATACTGTGATACCTATTACTGTTATCCTGGTAACCTGCTGTGAAGTTCTGTACCAATTTCACTGTACAATGTTAGTTGGCTTTATTCTGTCTTGTTCTGTTGTATTTTACCACTTTCAAAATAAAATTTTAAAAAATACTGGCACTGTTTAAAAATTAATTTTTAAACATCATTTTAGCCTCTTCCTGTAAACTTTTCTTCTGGTAAATACCTATCCCTATTTTTGAATGAGGCTTAGGTCCTAGACAAAAAAGCAAAAGTGGCCTTTTAAAGGTCAATATATTTCAGGAAGTGATTCAACAATGTAAATATAAAATTGTCCACACTGGTGATAAGTATAATAAATACAGCAACTTACGGCAGCAGAAACAAGCACTTTGAGAACTGACTAGGTTAATATGGAAAGAAAGATAATTGGTATTACTGTTTTGCTTGTGTATTTTGCCCATATAAAGTCAAATCTAAAAACTCTAATTGCTCCAATGGCCTTAAATGGTATTCATTTGGAAAAGGTCAAGGTACCCACTTGTAGAAAAATGGCTATATAGTTTATTTATAATGAAAATACACTATTCCCATAAAAGTCCAACGACTACTGTAGTAAAGGCTGCTATTTACTGAGAAACTAATTGTCATATGCACATATCAGACACATATTATCCACAGTGCACAGTTACTTCCTGTCATTCTATCTGACCATAACCTGCAATATTTCAGCTTCCTTATTAAATTATCACCCAGTTTCCCACTATATACCAGGCACTATTTTAGTGGGTAGGATAAACCAAAAGTCAAATTGGATCAAAGATCTAAATATTAAAACAGAAACACTAAATCTACTGGAAGAGGAAGTAGGTACAAATCTTGAAGACCCAGGGGTAGGCAAAGACTTCATGAATAAAACCCAAACAGCATGGGAAACACTTCAATGAATCAACAACTAGGATCTCATCTTGAAGTTCTGCACATCAAAAATAAAAAATAATCAACAAAGTGAAAAGAAAACTAACAGCGAGGGAAAAAATTTTAACCAACTGTCCTACACATAAGGATTTTTATCTAGACATATAAAGAACTGGAAAAAAAATCAGACTTCCCCAAATTCAAAGAATCCAAAAATGGGGCATCTAAGATGAATACACACATCTCAGATGAAAAAATACAAATAGCAAATAAAAATATGAAAAAATGTTCAACATCACTAGTCATTCAAGTCATGCAAATTAAAACAACATTGAATGGCTATCACCAAAAAAAATCAACCAATTATGAATGCCAGAAAGGCTGTGGGGGAAAAGGAGCCCTCCTCCATTATTGGTGGGAATACAAACTGGTACAGCCTCTGTGGAAATGAGTGTAGCAATTCCTCAAAATACTAGTTAGAGGTCTCACTGACCCTCGTTATTTCCCTTCTGCATATTTTCTTAAAAGAATTACAAAGATTGTATCACAGTGATATATGTACAACCATGTTTACAGCAACATAATTTGTAATAGCTAAATCTTGGCAACAACCCAATGCCCATCAACTGAGCAATGTCTAAAAAAGATGTGGTATTTTTATGCAATGGAGTACTACTCAACCATACAGGATTGACCTGAGACATTTATAGGGAAATGGATGCAACTTGAAACCATACTCATAAGTGAAATAAATGACTCATATGTGTAAACACTGTATTGTTTCCCTAGTATAAGAAGCTGAAAAAGTAAGTAAGATACAAAATGTATAAAAGATACTGTTTGAAATAGGAAGAAATTGTTCCAAAGGAAAAGGAAACTGGGCTGGGGGTGGGGGAGGAGAAAAGAAGGAAAAGAAAAATAAATTTTAAAAAAACACATAAAAAAAGATATACTATCTGCTATTAATTCATTGAAAAGGTTTGTGCTTATATTGTTTGATCAATTTTTATACCAATATTTTGTAATATGAGCAACTACTTTGAAGATTGGAACATTATGCAACGTATTAACTATTGTCATTTTCCTACAATCTTGTTTTGAAATTTTGTACCTTTTTTTTTCTTTAAAATAAAGATTTTGGCTTAAATAGTGATTTCTTTGTTCTTACGGAGATGATCTGGAGAGCAAACCTTTTCTGACTCCTAAGTCCCTGAACCCTCTAATTATATTTGCTGTCTACTTGTCATTGTTTTCTATCCTTTGGCTTTTTCCTCACCCCTATACTGACCACAAACTATCATTTCAAAATCCTAAATATACCTGCTCCTCTCTCATACAAATGCAAACAAACACCTGTCTTTTCTGCACCTTAACCCACAAAACTAAATGTAGCTGAAAGCAGCACATTATTAAACAGACAAATCAGTAGTTCTTGTGTAATTCACAATCACCAGCCTCAAATACAGCCTCAAAGACACTGAAAGTTTTAAGAATTTGCTCTAGTTAATTGTACAAAGAACTATTTCAATCATCCTATATTAAAACTACCTCCATTTCCCATTTTGTTCAAATCAGTGTGTCATTTTTCTGTACAATGCAAATGACTTCAACTGTACCCATACTGAGAAAGTGGCAGCTGAGAGCAACTTTATTACCTGTTCTGTATAAATATGTGCACTTTCAATCCTGTCCTATTTGTATAGCTATAATAAGCAAATGCTCGTACCTAAGGCCAATTTGTCTAAACTCTTTTTTAGACTTCGTCTCAAACCGTTTTGTTTTGCTCCTTCTTTCTCTTATCCAGTGTCTTCTGGTAGAAGTTTCATTCATCAATCTGAGATCTTCCTTTAAAAACACTAGTATTTAGGGGTGGAGGTTTAGCTCAGTGGCATAAGTGCCTGCCTTGCAAGCAGACAGTCGTGAGTTCAATCCCCAGTACCAATAAAAAGGAAAAAGACAAAAAACAAAACAAACAAAAAACAAAAAAACACTGGCATTTGAAGGTATATAGTCACCTCCAAGCATTGATCTTCATTTTCATTCATCAAGTATTTCCTAACTGCTCTCACACCTTCTGTGACTAGTTGGCCATCTAACAGTGGCCCTTTAAGAAGAATCTGAGCACGGGCCTTGGTGAGCATCCCCAAATTTATTACCATTAGATTACACCCTTTGATTGCTGTGGAGGACAACCAGGACGACTATCCTTAAACAAAGAGCAATTACCTCCACTTTGGTTAAACCTCATCCTATCTCCATGTAATGATATGTACAGAGCTGGCTAAGCTATTCTCCCTTCATCTGGCTCAAAATAATGCAAACAGAGCTAGCTAAGGTGCTGATCTTTAAAGCTAGGCAACAGTCGTGATTTCCCTGTCCTGTGACTCCCAAAACATGTTTGAGTCAGGCAGGATACAGAGTTCCAGTGCTGTCAACTGGGATTCCAGCTTGGAGGTAAGAGGCTATGACTTCCTGGGGCAGAAAACTTTGCACATTAGAAC